ATGCTACTATATTAAGTTCTATCATACTGTATTTTTTACATTATTTTTATTCTCAAACTCTTATTATTATTATTATTATTATTATTATTATTATTATTATTATTATTATTATTATTATTATTTAATTTGTTTTAAATTTACCTATTATATTTTTATTTTACTTTATTAATTCGTTTAGAGTTGATATAATAAATGTAGTTGTGTACAATTCTTACACAAGAATTTATATGGCCCATTGGTTTAGTGGGCAAGTTCACCTCCTTTAGAACAGAAGGGTATAAGGGTAATTTATTAATTATGTAAAATAAAAAAAATGTAAAATTTTCGCAGGTATAGAAGGTGTTGTGCACGCGCCGTTAAGTTGGACGGAATGGGTGAATCATGCAACAACTACTTAAATACAAGGGGGTGTCATGCATTTTTTAAAACACAGGGTGAAGCGCGCCTATTTCATATAACACAGGGGGGTTTGGCGTAATTTACCCTATTTTAAAATATCGGTTTCGTTGGTAACACGCTTCATAGTTATTTACACAATATATTGCCGATAATCGTTGGGTTTCTTATGGTAACAAATTTTACAATTTTTTTGGATTGTATGGAGTTAAATATTGCAGAAAAAATCTCAAGATTTGATAAATGATACATATCAAAATAAAAATATTATTTTTCAATCAAACCAAAAAGCCTTACCAAATTAAATTGTAACAAACACCATTAATTTTGGTAAACATTATGTCACATTGATATTACACATAATTTTCAAAATAAAAAATTAATTGTTGACTTACTAATATAAGCAATATCAATGGGCCCACATGTCAACCAATTTAATCGGATTTTGGTAACAAATTTTATCGGATTTGGATGACAAATCTCGGATTTTGGTAACAAATTTAATCTTATTTTGATAACAAATCTCGGATTTTGTTAACAAATTTGATCTGATTGCGATAACAAATCTCAGATTTTGATAACGAATCTAGGATTTTTATAACGAATCTTTTAAAATATCGGCTTTTTGGTATCACACTTCATAGTTATTTACACACAATATATTGCCAATAATCTTTGAGATTTCTTTTGGTAACAAATTTCACAATTTTTCGAATTGTTTGGAGTACTATATTGCAGAAAAAATCTCGAGATTTGATAAATGATACATATCAAAGTAAATATATTATTTTTCAATCAATCCAAAAAGCCTTACCAAATTAAATTGTAACAAATTCTATTAATTTTGGTAAACATTATGTCACATTGATATGACACATAATCTTCAAAATAAAAAATTAATTGTTGACTTACTAATATAAGCAATATCAATGGGCCCCACATGTCAACCAATTTAATTGGATTTTGGTAACAAATTTGATCTTATTTTGATAACAAATCTCGGATTTTGTTAACAAATTTGATCTGATTGTGACAACAAATCTCGGATTTTGATAACCAATCTTTTTTTTTTTTGGTCGAAACGATAGAGGATTTATATATAAACGCACAAATGTGCAAAGTTACAACAACTAGCTGAATAATACAATCGACGACTGAGAAAACTAGGAGGACAGGTCCGAAGACCGCCTAGATCCGAAAACTAGCAATGCTAGAATACTCGGCAACACACTAAATACAAACACACAAAACAACAACAACAAAAAAACAACACAAGACCCCCACAGGGTAATTCCCGAGTGTCGGACCCCTACAGAGTAATGGAAATGACACTCGGGTGCACAGAGGCCAACGACCCAGACCTAAAACACAACGACAAAACACAAACACAGATACGAACACACTAAACAAGAACAACAAACCAATGTACAACAAAACCAAAGAAGAAAAAACACAGCTAAATAAAAAAAGCCCTTCCACAGCAAGTCAGTCAGCTCGAACCAGCGGAGAACAGTCAATATCAGAGGATAATCCAAGTCCAGGGACGGCTCCCGAAACTGCCACAAGGACTATACAAGAAGTCGAACCCAAACACAAACCACACTCCAAAACGACCCGCGTCAACCGGAAGGACAACCAAACACGCACCCACTCTAGCACCTCCCGAGCATGCCTAACACCACTAGCCGAGCGTCGGAGCACCAGATTTCCGCCGTCTAACACCACTAGACAAAACAGGGGACGGCTCGGGCCCTCAGTTCCGACTCCCGTCAGAGCCCCACCCCGCCTCTCAACCCACTACCCAGCCAATAGAACCGCAGACCACCGACGTCCGGACCCGACAACCCCGAACGGAGATCTGCCGAAAACAGGACCGCTCAAGGTGGCCCTCCGGTGGCCCTCCGGTGGCCCTCCATTCGCGCACAGAATCAGAAATAGTAACAGAAGCGGGAGAAGAAAACGGCATACTCACCTCCAATCGAGACCGGCGGCCAGTCACCTGCAAGCCGATCGACGACCAAGGGGCAGCTGCCTCTAATCTCTACCACGCCGGCGAACGAAGGGCAATCCAGACCAACATCACAGGCACGCTGCAGCAACACTGGAGGACCGGGACAACAGAGGAGGGGTGGCGGTTGAGCGCGACCACCGGCCGGCGCCGCACTGTTGTCGAGGAAGGCAACTCAAATCGACGAGGGTTTGGTTTTTAGGATTTGGGGATTTTTCTCTCTCTAAATACTTACTATAGAAAATGATAACAAATCTTTTAAAATATCGATTTTTTGGTAACCCACTTCATAGTTATTTACACACAATATATTGCCAATAATATTTAGAATTTCTTTTGGTAACAAATTTCACAATTTTTTCAGATTGTTTGTAGTTAAATATTGCAGAAAAAATCTCGAGATTTTATAAATGATACATATCAAAATAAAAATACAATTTTTCAATCAATCCAATAAGTCTTACAAAATTTAATTGTAACAAACTCCATTAATTTTGGTAAACATTATATCACAGTGATATGACACATAATCTTCAATAATCGATAAAATTCGAGACACATGTAACACGATCCATATTTTTTGTTTTTTTATAACAAAAACGGATAAACATACTTTTTTGAAGTTGATCATAATCACATTATTTAGGAAAATAAATTCTACTCAACTTAAAAACCTGACGTAAATCAATTTTTAAATTCCCGTGCGCGGCATATGTGACATACACAAATGTCTATATAACCATCCCCAACATTGAACCAAAATTTTTCTACAACCAATACATCCCACAAAACATATTTGTTTTTACAAGTTTTTTCGTATACATTCAAAATGACATTGTATTTTGGAGTAATCAGGGTTATCAAATAATATTGGCATCTATAAATCGATTCTAGGTAATTGCAGGATCATTATCAATGGTAAAAACCAACATTCTCAAGTGGAGGAGTGCATTTCCAATATATCGTTTTGACTTTAGGAACTTTCTAACTTTAATGGATGTTCATAATGTTGATGAAACCATGTTGTTTGGTACGTTATAATTTTTTGTTTATTTTTTATTTCGATTTTTTTAAGTTAAATTTTTTAATAAACTATATTATACATTATACCTTTCAATATGATGCGTTGTCTTATATTTTTGTAGATGTTATTGGATTGGTTGTTTCAACACAACTTATTCAAATATGAAGGTTGTCGAGGGAGTTCCTACCCAAATGATTGTATTCTCTATTATGGATTTGGAGTAAGAATCTTTAGCATTAGATATTCATATTTTATATTCTAATGTTTTATATGATTTTTTTCTATTATATTTCGATTTTAATGTTTTACGCATGTAATATAGTAAAAAAAATTAAAATACCAATGTTCAAAATTTATTTTCGCAACTCATAATATGCCCTTTAGAAACTTCTTGGACATTGTGTAGGGGAAACATAAAGAACTGCATGGTTTGGGGCCAGTTAAATGTTGTTGTCTCCCGTGTCACAAACAGAAATGGTTTGAAAATCCTAATTTATGGCGAAGATGACGTGCGAAAGAATCAAACCATAAACGTTGTATATAAGGCATCAATGATATATAGATTTTTATTTTCATTATATTTATTAATTATTAATGACATGATCTTTCCTTTAGTAAGTACTTTGAATTTTAGCTTAAAATTGTTTTTTAAAAGGGACGGAGATAATAAACTCTCGTGCATCGCACGGGTACTGTACTAGTATATATAAAGAGGAATTCATTGCTAAATAAAGATGATATGCAATGACTATAATTGGCAACATTTCTACATTTTTTGTGTAATTGTAAGTTTAATGTTTTTTGCATTTGTCAATAATACTTTAGATCCGTGTTTGCATTTGCACTTTGCATTAACTTAACTAAATTAGTATTCAATTAATAATTCAAATTAATATGGAATCTACATTAATATTTATGCGACTTACTATTCAGCTAACTTTGAAGTTTCTAAAAGTTATTGATTGAGAATTTTAAGTAGAAAATCTATATAAAAATAATAATAAATTTCAGTTTCAGTTTTTCTAAGAATAAAAATCAATTATAAGTATGAGAATCATTCAGATATTAATAATGCATAATAATATAAATTTAATAATGCATAAAAATATAAATACCACCAATTAAGATAATGACACCCAATGATACCATAAATATCTGAACCTATAATTATACCATAAATCATTATTGAATAATACAATATTACCTACCATAAACGCATGGTAGGATGACGAATAATATAATAATACCTATCATAAACACAGTGCATTGTTGTAGTAGGATATGTTTAAATATGTTATAGTAATATAATATACCTACCATTGATTCGGTAGAATATATTTCTGAATCCATATAAATTTCAATGTGTATATAAACTAAGAAATCACAAAAGAAAATATAGTGATACTATCAGTATTGAATAATATAATATAACCTACCATATACGTCGTGTACTGCCATTGTTGCAGAGTTATCTCTATAGGATGACTATTATATAACATGCTCATGCGGTACGAGTTTATTCATCGCCTATTTTCTTTGCATTATTACAGTGTCTTGTGATTTAAGAAAAAAATGGCGCTTATCAAAGATATCAACATGTCCAAAACAGAGTGGGATCTCAAGCTTCGTTTGATTCGGTATTACGATAAAACTTTCATCAATGATAGGACTTGTGTGTATGGATTCGACTGTGTGTCATGATTCTGAGGTATCGTAAGTTAGTTGATCTTTATTCAATAATTTAGTTTCATAATTATAATTCAAATTTTATTTTTTGTAGGGTATGCGCGTGCACGCTACAATGAAGAAAAATAATATGAATCAATTCAAGCCCAAACTCAAGGAAGGAAAAGTCTACCGTTTGAGGGATCCCTATGTGCCTCCGGGATGTGGCGATGCTTATTACCTACGTATGCTTCTAAACTTTGTTCGGGGTGCAACGTGTTTTGCTGATTATAGAAAGATTGACAATGTTCAGTGTGATTCATATCGTGAAGCATGTTATGCTTTGGGCGTATTGAAAGATGATAAAGAGTATATTGATGGGATAACCGAAGCAAGCAATTAGGCGTCTGCTGAGTCATTACGTTGCATGTTTTCGTCTTTACTATCTTCGGATTCTATGGCCCGACCAGAACATGTATGGGAAATGTGTTGAGAGCTACTATTTGATGATATTTTATATAATCGACCAAAATTGTTGAATTCTCCAGGTATAAAGTTATCGATTCATTTACGAAGAATAAAAAATCAGTGTTTAAATAATGTCGTTACATAATATCTTTGATATGACTACATTGACTTATTAAAATAATTACATTGTAGAATTGAATATTGGCAAGGACGAGATAAAAATTTTGGCTCTATGCGAAGTTGAAAAGTCATTGCCTAGACGTGGGAGGAGTCTACGAGATTTTGATTCTATGCCTTACCCGACTATTGATGATCGTGAGAATAGTCGTAATAGGATGTTGCTTGATGAACTCAACTATGATCGAAAAGTTATGGCAGTTGAACATGATAAGCTACTGTCCACAATGACTGTTGAACACAGTGACGGATCTAGAAATTTCACTCAAGTGGGCCCAATTTTAAATGTTAAATAACGAGCTTGTAGTTTAAGTGGAAACACTCCGTTCATATAAAAATGTATTTAGTATAAATAAAAATATTGATACGTGTACCATCAAGTTTTTAAATCATATAATCCATATCACCCCCAAACTTTTTAAAAAAATAAACAAAAAAAATTATGTATTTATAATTTAAGTTCAACATCTATTTTTTTTTTTGGCCAAAACGATAGAGATATTATAAAAACAATCAAAATACAAGGCAGCCACCAGCTGAATACACACAGCCAACAGCTGAATACACGCAGCCAACAGCTGAAAAAGTGGGAGGACGCGTCCAAAGGACCGCCTAGAACCGACCCCACAAGGGTAAAACTCAAGAACACGACTAAAACACTAAAATACTAAAAATAACACAGAGACCCCAACAGGGTAATACCCGAGCATCTGGCCCCAACAGGGAAATCAAATTGACACTCGGGCTCACAGAGGCCAAGGGCCCAAACCAAAAATACAAGACACAGACACAACCAAAGAACCAACAACACAGAATACGGACAAACCACATAGAAAACTCTAGAACAAAACACCTAAAAATCAACAATAAAGCCCTTCCTCGGCAGAAAGATCAAGCCAGACCAGCAGATGAACGGTCAAAATCAGGGAGAGATTCGAAGGCCCGGTACCTGCAACCTACACTGCCTAATGCCTATCTGAAGCAGATGCCAAATCCAGAACCAAACACCAATAACGACCCGTCCCCAGCCAGAGAGAGTCGACATTCCTCAACAGCTAACACCACTAGCCGTTACCAACACCGCACCACCCGCCTAACACCACTAGCCGAGTACCGCAGCGCCGGCTCCCCCGAACCCAACAAAGAACCGGGGAGAGAAAAGAAAGTCGCCCCCCCGCTCAAACAACCCAGCGCGAACGCCACGGGTAGCCTGAGCCTCGCCGCTCTCTCCAATTCACCCGTCCTCCGACAGCTCGGCATCTCCAGGAGGTTGTCCACCGGAACTGCGTCACCTCGCCGGGAGAAGGGGAGTCCGACCACCAAGCTGCCGCCTGAGCGAACTGAGGAGGGAGGACCACCTCATCGGCCACCGAGAGTAGCCGCCGAGGGAGACCGCTGCAATGGCCACCGTCGCGACCGGAGAAGGAGACGACCACCGGAGTTCCAGCCATCCCGAACGGGAAAGCCGCCTGCCGCCAGAGACGCGTAGAATCAGGGATGAGGAGCGAGCCGCCGAGGGCTACCGCCGGTCGAAGCCACGATTTCGCCGAGGAAGGCAGACGCCGGAGCAGCTAGGACGAGCGGCGGATTTGGGGCTTAGGTTTTCTTCTTCGACGAGCAGCGATTTGGGGCTTAGGTTAAAGTCTAAGTTCAACATCTATAACTTATGGAAAAATAAGTTTTTTTGTTGAAACTTTGATTTAAATTGAACCTTTACACAACATTCCATAGCAATTTTTTTATGAAAGCTTATCAAATGAATATTTTTTTAAAAAAAATAAATAAAGTTAAAAATATGTGATTACACAAAAAAAGAGAGTCAAAATCAACATTAAAAATATAACAATCCAACTAATAAATGCTCGATTTTATAAATCACTAAATCTATTTACAATTAAGAGACCGAAATAGTAAATCATTATAAAAATTATCAATAGCTTATCTAAAAATTTAAAATATAAAGATTGTTGGTATATTTTTCAATAAATAGATAATATTATTAAGTTAAATAAAAATAGCATAGGAAATAAGTTTTAATTAGTAATATATTGTAAATGTTTTATAAATTTGTTTACATATATTATAGTATTATTTTATATATTTATTGATTTTTAATAAGTTTTAATTATTAACATATTAGTAAATATTATTTTGTATTTGTATATATATTAGTAATATATATATATATATATATTGATTTTCTTAAAAAAATGAGGGGGGCCCATGGCCCCCCCTGGGCCCCATGTGGCTCCGTCATTGGATGAACAACGCTCCATATATGAAACCATAATGAAATATGTCTGTTGTAATAAAGATGGTCTATTTTTTGTTTATGGTTACGATAGTACTGGAAAGACATCCTTGTGGAGAGCTTTATCTTCATGTCTTCGATCCAAAGGAAAATGGCATCAAGTGGAATAGCATCTCTTTTATTACCTGGGGGAAGAACTGCACATTCTAGACTCGCATTCCATTTCAGCCAAATGAGGACTCAAAATGCAATATAAATCAATCGAGTCCACTTGCAGAGCTGATTATTCGTGCATCCCTTATAATTTGAGATGAAGCTTTTATGATGAATAAGTATTGTTTTGAAAAGCTCTCGATACCACGTTTAAGTTAATAATGTCTGTTATCTATCCATCAAATAAGCATAAAGTGTTTGAAGGAAAAACGGTTGTTTTTTGTGGAGATTTTCGGCTAATAGTACCTGTTGTCCCTAAAGGAAGTCGACAAGACATTGTTAATGCAACGATTAATGCATCTAAAATTTGGAAAGATTGTCGAGTTTTGAGATTGACTAAAAACATGAGACTTCAGAGTCATGGTGGGAATGAAGAGTACCATAAGTTGGTTGAGTTTGCTGAGTGGATTGCAGGAATTGGAGATGGAACAATTGGAGGAAGCGAAGACGGTTGTGCGGATATTGACATACCTGGTGAATTTTTGTTGCGGAATTCTGATGACCCCATCGCAACCATCGTGGAAAGCACTTATCCAATGGTTAAAGATTGCATTGATGATCCCAACAATTTGAAAGATAGAGCTATATTAGCTCCAACATTAGATGTTGACTCCATCAATGAATATATGTCATATTTGAATCAATCGAGGGTCATACTTATTTAAGTTCTGACAGCACATGCAAATCCGATGGTGGTGTTGATTTCTTGTATGACCTGCACACGCCGGAGTTCTTAAATATTATAAAATGTTCTAGTGTTCCAAATCATGAATTGCACTTAAAGGTTGGGACTCCTGTCATGTTGTTGAGAAACATTGACCATTCGATCGGTCTGTGTAATTGAACACGATTGGTGATAACGAAGCTTGTCACTCACGTGCTTGAATGTAAGATTCTAACAGGATCAAATATTGGATATAAGGTATTGGTACCGAGACTTTCCCTAACTCCATCTGATCTCAGGATACCCTTCAAGTTCTAGCATAGACAATTTCCTCTTATGGTTTCTTACGCAATGACAATCAACAAGAGTCAAGGGCAGTCGTTATTCCATGTCGGAATTTACTTGAAAAGACCCGTGTTTAGTCATGGTCAATTATATGTTGTTTCTCGAGTCACTAATCCACAGGGGAAAGAAAAACTACTAAAAATGTTGTCTATCGAGAAGTTTTCCACAATTTGTAATACCATACAATATTACATTTTCACTATCGACTCAATAAAATTGTTATTTATTTTTCAATTACTTTTTATGATATATATATATATATTAATATATTTATTAAAATATTTTATTAAATATGTCTCGTGCATCGCACGGGTGAAAATACTAGTAATAACTATAGGGTGAGTTTGGTTTTGTGCAAAACCATACTGAATAATTTTAAAAGATAATCGAGTCAGAACTGAACCAAAATTTTGTTACATTAAAATAACTGATCTGAATCGGTATTTTATTTTGCCTTGATCTTTTTATATATGTATATATATAATTTTGTACGATTGGGTACAAAATCATAATGGATCGATCCAACCGCCAAGAAAAGAGATAGACATTGTTTGAATGTAAATGCAAAGTTTCTCATACTTTGTAATTTTATATGTTATATTTTAATACCTTTTTATCATTTGTGTCTACTGGAACTAGGAGTAATCAAGTATAATCAATATAATGAACTTTATAAATATCCCATTATAACGTTATCTATCTACTAGTCGAATTACAAAACTCGTGTAATACGCTAATCTTAATTAAGAAACTTTTTTTAATTTAGAACGAGGCTTGTTATCCATAAAACTCACTCATAAGGTAGATTTATTGTTATTCACCATTTATGTTGTTGGTGTTGGGTCAACTCCTAGATTCAGATTAAACCGGTGAAAATGAGCTTTGATCTGTCCGAACCGCCAAGAACACATGCAAGAACTCAACGCCAGAGGGGTTCCCAGCGAAGAGGCTCCGATGCTTAAGTAAGTATCAGGAAGATGATGATGATGCTCTGTAAGCAGTATGAAATGTATCTAAAGTGTAAAGTTGTGATATGATGATACCTTAGCCCCTTGGGGAAAATACATGCCCGGAATGTCTTGCTCGAGTGCCCGCGGTCAGTCTGCCCAGCTGTTCGGATCTTCATTGCTTATCTGTATCCTAAGATTCATCATTATCTCTTAAGCTCACTAAACATCGAGATGTGATCTCTGTTGATGTAACCCTCGAGTTGCGAGGTGAGTGAAGTCGATCTCGAGATGTGGGAGGTCGACTGGAATTCTTCGTAGGGAGGAGTGAAGCATCGTTCTTGGATACTCCTCGAGGTCCTTGAATTACTCGTCTTTTCGCCTGTATCAAGCTGCCATGTGGTTAGATTCATCTTCCAAGTCCTTATCTCATAAGTCGATATCAAGGATCCCGAGTCATCGTCTTCCTATGTATAGTCGTCATTTGATAGTTATCGCGAGTCGACGCGCTCAACTCGAGTCGTCATAGATGGATCGATTTACTGCTCGGTCGAACTATCAACACTGTCCGGTCTACGTGAATAATGGCTATATCACATGCACAATGTGAATTTTAGACAATGATAAATTCTATATATACGATATAAAAAATAATAACATATAAAAAAACTATTAAATTTTAAAATATATTTATTAAGTAATTAATCAAATATTAATCTTAAAAGTTGGAATACATAATGTAAAATTCACACTTATACACCATAATTTGATGCATAGAATTACAAAACACTTGATTCATACAATTACCAAAGCAAAACTATTGCGATACNCTTTTTGAAAAAAAAAAAAAAATATTTAGGCCATGCTTGTTTATAAAATAATTTGCTCACATTTATAAACCAATTATTATTACATATTACATCAACTTTAATTCACTATTCACCCACTCACATAATTTTAACTATCTATCATTTTCAATCATTCATCTCATACTTTTACATCAAATGAGTAATAATCATTCTATTTAGATATTATTTTAATACATTATTGAATTTTTACTAATAATTAATCCTACCACATTTTTTAAATTTAACTCTAGTTAATCAAAATAACTCATTTTGAGCAAATTATTTCATAAACAAACATTTACTCATTCGTCCAATTTTAATATATATCATTTACAATAATTATTTTATATTTTTATATTATATTAATTTTAATCATTTTACTTTACTAGAACAAGCATTAATTCATCATCATTGATTCATTTCATAAAAGAATCGTAATAACAATTTTAAGTATTTTACAATCACACATTTGTTTTCGAAAATAGTCAACCCAAAGAGAATCTATCAACAAAAAAGGAAAAAAACCAACAGAGGAGAAAAAAAAAAAGGAAAAACTGTGGCCTGTGGGTGGTAGAGTGAGGAAATCCAGCCAATAATCCAAAACCCTAGTTCCTCTCCATGCGATTTTGCTCTCAATCTATAATAACTGGATTAAGTATCGGCAATTAGGGTTCTATCTGCACTAATCAATATGGTAAGTGATGATATTTTCCGTCATTTGTACAGTATTATCGTTTTCCTTTTTCTTTTTGTTGGATAATTTTCTTCTGTTGGATTCACTATTGATTTGATGCTAAGATTGAATTTTTCCAGCTGAGTATGCTTCTTGTTGCTGTTATTAGTGTTGTAGTCATTATCATAAGCAGTGCGTTTGTTGAGATGCTATCATCGGTGACTTCACTGTTTAGTTTACACGACCTCGCAAGTTTTATTCTTTATGTTTGTTTGTTTTAATAAATTGTCTGAAAATGCTCGATTTTGAAATCTGTTAACTGGGATTGATTACTGTGAGGTGTTATTTGGCATGGCAGAACAAATTGGGTCGAGGGCAGCGGGAAAAGGTGCAGCAGTTCATGTCAATTACTGGGGCAAGGTATCTCAAACACCATTTCCTTCTTTCGATTTATCATTTTTTCCTTTGAGATTTGATCTTCTCTGTGCGGATTGTTCAGCTGTATTTACGTGATTTTATCACATTTCACATTGACAGCTACGTAAATGTTACATGAGTTTTTGTTTATGCTGATTGAAATCTGAAATGCTTTTAACACTGCCATGAGTATCCAACTTTTAGTATTCTGCTGATATGAGCATTTTCTTTTGTGTTTCCATTTTTGGTGCCCTGTAACAGTTATTTCTTATGTGTGTTGAACTTTGATGGTGATCGATGTAATTTTGCAGTGAAAAGATTGCTATTCAGGCACTGAAGTCCAGTGAGTGGCAATTTGAAGGAGCATTTGACATATTTTACAGCCACCCTCATGTAAAGTCGGTTGCTGACACGAGACATTTAGAAGAGCTTTACAATAGATACAAAGGTAGTTTTTTTTTTATGTCTTTTAGTCTTTGCTGAACACTACAAAATGTTTTTATAGCTGTTTTCAAAGGCATTGTCACTTTTCAAGCTATCTTTGGTCAATGAGTTTAGGTTCAAAAGCAACAATGACATGTTTACTTGTGTATTATCCTGTTGTGATATGGAAAATTTACGTTTGTTTATGTCACTATTATATCACAAGCAAACCATTTTCCTTCTCTCTCCCCCTCTCGCTCTCTTTCTCTCTCTCCGTGCGTGTGTTTTGGTTTGTTCTTCATTCCTTGCATTTTGCAATCAAAGTATCTATATATAAATGAGGCCAGTTGCCTAATATAATCTTCAGTTATTCTCAGTGCAGATAACGTGGAGACCTTTGTGTCTTCATATGATATCCAAACTTACTAGCCTTTTTTCTGCGAGTTCCTCTTAACTATATAACTGAAAGTTTACCGGTAATGATTGAAATTTTAAATAATTTACTTTACATGAAGGGAAACTTCTCACATCTATATTTTTGTAAATCACTTGTACTACTCGTGACATACTTTCATCTTAAATTGGGTTAGCGTTTCGCATGCAAAGATAATTTCGTTGTCTGAAAAATGTTTTCTTTCCTCATTCATGGCTTAGAAAAATGAAAAAATCTTTGTTGTGGCCTGTCATATTTTACAGATCCCTATGCTGATATGATTTTAGCTGATGGAATCACTTTGTTGTGCAACGATCTTCAGGTAGATTTAGCAATTACACTAATGCTCTTCCAACCTGTAATTATGTTTGATCATAAAGGTCGTATCAATTTATGGTTTTACTTTTACCTGTAGAGCATATTATTTTTGGGATCACATATTAATAAGCCAGTTGTCTTTTCCTAATCTGAATTTTATGAGTACCCACTGCTTTAATGACATATGGAGCGTTTTCTCTTTTGGTAGGTTGATCCGCAAGATATTGTCATGGTAAGTTATTTCTGAAACTACGCACCAAATGTACTGTTGCATAGATTTCTCAGTTTGCTGAGACTGCATCAGACTTGTGCTGTCAAGTACTTGTTTGACGAATTTATTAATTAATTATTGAAGTTCTGTTCAGTTGCTTGTAAGCTCTCTCTAGATTTTGTTTTTTTTCTTTGCCCTTCATATAGTGGTAGCTAATTTTATTGTTCCAGTAAAAATTCGATGCAAAAGTTTTTACTATTTAGCCAAAATTCTTTTCTATCACAAAGCTCCTCTAAACTATGTCTTCCTTAATCGTATTCTTTGTGGAAGGTTTCTTCTGGGCTTCTGATTTATGAACATTGGACATGCATAATTGGTTTTTCTATTTTTCAGCCTTTATATGAAAACATGTGCTCTTTTTACGTTGCCTTTCTAAGTGTCCTACTCGCATATCTTGTTTTAATTTCTGCAGTTCCCAAAGCATATGCTATTCATTTGTTTAACTCAGAAAAAATATTTGGATCTGCTTTAGGAGATAATTTTTGGTCAGCTTATGTACTGATTGTTATTCAAAAATTATTCGGATACATGTTTATCTTAAATAACAAGATGGTATAGTTTGGATAAATTAATTTAATTGCAAATCCAGAAATGTTGAGGATTTTGTTTTCCCAAAGATGTTAGCTTTACATTGTGTTTGTTATTCATTATTTTATTTATTGCATTCCATTTTTGTAATCTAAGTTCAGTATTATTGCTGCGATTTGTAGTTGGTAGTCTCATGGCATATGAAGGCTGCTACAATGTGTGAATTCTCAAAGCAAGAGTTTATTGGTGGATTACAATCACTAGGGTGAGGAATTAGTCAAGACATCTCTCTCTCTCTCACACACACACACACACACATGTTTTTTAACTTGATCATAAATTGAACCGTTTGTCCTCGTGGTATTTTTCAGGATAGATTCACTGGAGAAGTTCAGAGAAAGAATATCTTTTATGCGTTCTGAACTAAAAGATGAATGTATGGGATGTCATCGAAAAATGCTGTTTCTAATATAAGCAATTAAAATATTTTCCTCTCATACTTGAATTCTCTCCAAAATCATTTACTAGATTTATTGCTGAATCCCTTTCNAAAAAAAAAAAAAAAAAAGATTTATTGCTGAATGCTTTTATAAGTTGGTGCCATTATTTGCTGAATGCTTTTATAAATTGGTGCCATTATTCTTTTGACATTCCGTCATATTACAAGAGAAACATCCCAATAAGGGATCTGGTCAGTTACTAGCATTCTGTTTTTTACTGTTATATATTTTTTAAATTGTTTTCTCCAGATAAGTTCCGGGAGGTCTATAACTATGCATTTGGATGGGCTAAAGAGAAGGTAATTTCTTTTACATGACTGTACAATTAGTTCTTAATCAATATTGGTCATGCTAAATCAAAGCTATAAATTGGCTCGTCTCGGAAGCTTGACTATTGTTATTGAGATATTAAAACCTAACACTTTCATATTCTGATGATAGCTAAAACTACCACTTATTTTTTAATGATCAATACTGATCCAATCTTTTTTTTTTAATCGATCTTCATTCTTAATTGTTTTTTTTTTTTTTTAAATTTCAAATTTTAGACTCTTAGGGGCTAATACTTTATTGATTTCAGGGTCAAAAGTCTCTGGCATTGGATACTGCAATCGGAATGTGGCAGTTACTATTTGCTGAAAAGCAGTGGCCATTAGTCGATCACTGGTGCCAGTTCTTGCAGGTGGAACACACATATTTATCCAATATTTTTGCAATAAATCGCTCAATTTCTCGTTCATAATTAATTTAATGATTTTATTTCACCAATAAATCTTATATTAGTCACCTTGCATCATTTTTCACATTTTATCTGCATTTTGATCCTGAACCATGGAAAAAATGATTAGAGCACATAATTGACTTCTTAACTGATTTTGAAAGTCTATATGTAAAGTTCTTTGATGGTTTTTGATGATTCAGGCACGGCATAACAAAGCGATTTCTCGTGATACGTGGTCCCAGCTACTCGAGTTTGCTCGGGTAAATAGTGAAACTTTTGACGAGTTTGTCGTTTGCTTATCCTTCGACTTTCTTTTCGACAATTTGCATTTTCTTTCTGTTATGCCCTTTCACATAAGGGGAAAAAAATCTCAAAATTAAAATGGCCTTCCAAGATTTGTATGTTTTTAACAAACATACCCCATTTAAGAGTACAATCTAGAAAATGGAAACCAATAATAAGTGGTTTATCTTGTTATAAATCTTTTCATATATCAACGAAATCGGAGGGTTTTCTAGTATCTCCGAACATTTTGAAACTTTACTTTTTTTTCACTTTTTTTTTTCTTATTTTCTTTTGTTTAAATGCAGACAGTGGATCCTGCATTGTCGAACTATGATGCGGATGGGGCGTGGCCTTATTTGATAGATGAATTTGTTGACTACTTGACCGAAAATGGTGTAATGCAAAAGGGAAAGCTGACCGATTGGAGCTACAAACAATGACCGATCACTCTATTCTGGTCGTCAACTTAATTGTTCTTCATTTTCGGTCAGATTGATTTGTAAAATTGATTGGAACAAAGAAAAGAACATAAAACATAATAAAACTTAAAAGGAAACAGTAAAACACCATCCAACTGTTGTGTAAAATTGTGGGGGCTTTGTTTGGAATTATACATTATTGATGTTTGACATCTTTGATTCTTCCTTGTTCATAACGGAGATAGTCTATCGGATTTAGTCATATAACATGATTAGAAAATATGATAATAGAGATAAATGGCACACAAGAATTCTTGTGAATGTATAGTAATAAAAAAAAATCTATACTTCCCCATAACTTCAAAAGCAACACCACCACATTTTATTTCAATCTCATATATATATGTCAACAAGCACTCACAACATCAACAAACCCCAATCACTAATGAACAAACTTAGAGAAAACAACACAATGAGCCAAGATCAAGACTTGTTGGCCATGGACTTCTAGTTAAGAACCGGTGACTCCTCGCCGCCAGAGCCCTCTTCCGGCGGCCCCTCGCCGCCCGGATTCTCCTCCGGCGGCCCCATGCTTGGATCCTCGCCGCCGCTGCCGCCACCACCTCCACCACCACCGCTGCCGCCAATGCCGCCGCTACCTCCACCACCGGCACTGCAGTTCTTCAAGCACACACACCTTAGGAATTTGCATTTTCCAGCCATGAATCCTTCTTTTTCGCAGATCGACCCACAATTTCGGTCGCTGAAGCAAGCGCCCTTGAACAATCTACTGTTGGACTCGCACGAGGCCGCTTGGCCTTGCATGATCAAACTCTCATCTGCATGCATTTCATATGCGAATTAACAAAATGGATTTGAACTTTTAAGTTTGATTATAATTCAAATATTTAGGCAGATTCCCGTGTGAGACGGCTTAACCGAACGCTGGTTAATCCATCATACTATTTTTAATCAAAATGTATAAACTATGTTATGACATGTCGTGATTTTGTTTCTATTATTTTTAGAGTAGCCATTTCAGTTTGAAAAATATGCATATTTATTGAAAAGGCATAATGTTTAGCCATTAGGTCTGCTTATTGTTACCATACAGAACCATTACTTGTAAACTGAACTGACATGTTCGATAATACCATATAAAAAGTACCGATTTAAATTCTTACTAATCAATTAATTGTTTTATGCTTCTCAAACTTGAAAAGTCTCCATATAATTTATTCCCATTACTTAAATGAATTGCACCATTAGTATCTATTATCCCAAGCATTTGTAAATTTAAAAGGCAACTTGGGAAGAAATTTTACAGTTTTTCATTCTACATATAAGAAATTATTGCAGGAAACAGAANAAAAAAAAAAAGAAAAAAAAAAAGACTCACAGAAAGCCAAGATGACGAGGAGAAACAGTAGACTTGGGAATTTTGAAGCCATTTTAGTTGTGAAGATTTAAATTAACTTGCTTGATTTATGATATCCAACGGGCATCTTTGTGAGGACTTATAGTGCAAGAAATTAGGTACTTGTGAAAATTGCATTGATATCAATTTTCCAGGAGTATACCACTCTAAATATCATATGCAAATTTTCATTAGTGTTTTTCACATTATATAGGACGGGACAAATCTTCGATA